TATCTTTGAAGGCAAGAAAAGCACATACATGATGTGTTAGTCATCAATAGTCTATGTTTAACCTTGCTGTGTATGTTTATTTTTACACGCAGTTATCAGGGAATGATTGTTTTTATTTCCAATTCAGATCCAAACAATAGCCTTGAGGCTATACTTGGGCACAGTGGTGCTTTGAGCATAATGCTAATGTCAGCATGCTAACATACTCCCAGTGACAATGCTAGCATCCTGATGTTTAGCAGCTATAAAATTTTAGCCGAGGCTAACGGGAATGTCATTAGTAGGCTATAGCAGGTGCCTGGTCATTCACACCGGACATATTATAAATTTGACCTGATGGTGGCTCTAGAGGAAAAGTTAAGGATGAGGCTATACTTGGGCACAGTGGTGCTTTGAGCATAATGCTAATGTCAGCATGCTAACATACTCCCAGTGACAATGCTAGCATCCTGATGTTTAGCAGCTATAAAATTTTAGCCGAGGCTAACGGGAATGTCATTAGTAGGCTATAGCAGGTGCCTGGTCATTCACACCGGACATATTATAAATTTGACCTGATGGTGGCTCTAGAGGAAAAGCTAAGGAATCACCAAAGTTATTACAGTTCATCCTGCAGGGAAAATGAATGTGTGTGGCTAATTCTGTAGCAATCCATCCAGCAGTTGTTGAGCTATTTTACTTAAAACCACAAATGTCAACATTATGGTGGCCCTAGTGACAAAGTCATGGAATCACCAAACTCAATAGGACTAATCTTCTGGGAACCATGCATGTTTGTTCAAAATGTCATATTCAATACCTGTTGTGATATTTCACCCTGGACCAAAGTGGTGGACCAGATGACACTGCCATCCTTAAAACCATTCTATTAGTATGGCTAAAATGAAGAGTGGCTTTAATTTAGACATCTTTTATATACTTATAACAGATTTAACTATCATACTTGTGCTAACAGCTACTCAGACTTATACAAAGTGTGTCTGAAACATTCACTCTCATTTTATTAAGACCAAAGACGCCTTCTGTTAGGATTCCTGGAGCTTTCATGTAAAGGCTGTCTACTCCTCTTCATCGCCTCTTACTCATGATCTGTTACCACGATAACTGAACAAAAAAAAAAGTGTTTTTCCAGAAGCAGCTCTGTGATTTTGAGCATTGCAACTACAAGGATATCTAAGAATTTCTGGCTGGCGTTGTGTAACGTGCAGGGCTGAGCTGCTGATGCATGCTTCCCTCCTGGTAATGTGACGCACGCACTTGTGTGCATCTCCCTAGTCATTCTTATATCAGCTCATTTCTCTCAGTTACTCACAGCTGATTGCACGCGCTGTGGCTCGACTGCACCCACTTACTTTGCTTATGTATGACTGGCTGCAGGCCACCTCACACCCATGCTACTGGAGCAGGGACTTTAAAATGGAAGTTCAACGTTCTCTTCTTCTCTTTCTGCAGGAATATGTGCATCTAAAACACACAAACGGAAGAGAAGGAGTCACTGTTTGCGTCTTCAGCCGGGGTGTCCGTCACCTCAGGCCGCCTGCTTGAAAGCTTCACGCTCGCTGGCTGACTCCCAGCACTCCCTCACCGTTGGCCCCAAATGGCTGACACGCACTTGTGTGCATCTCCCTAGTCATTCTTATATCAGCTCATTTCTCTCAGTTACTCACAGCTGATTGCACGCGCTGTGGCTCGACTGCACCCACTTACTTTGCTTATGTATGACTGGCTGCAGGCCACCTCACACCCATGCTACTGGAGCAGGGACTTTAAAATGGAAGTTCAACGTTCTCTTCTTCTCTTTCTGCAGGAATATGTGCATCTAAAACACACAAACGGAAGAGAAGGAGTCACTGTTTGCGTCTTCAGCCGGGGTGTCCGTCACCTCAGGCCGCCTGCTTGAAAGCTTCACGCTCGCTGGCTGACTCCCAGCACTCCCTCACCGTTGGCCCCCACTGGCTGACACACAGCAGTTCTTCACTGGCAAGCTTTATGTTCCTGTACACATGCTAAAGCTGCCAGCTGAAGAACTGCTCTGGTCAGCCCTGCCCCGGATGACTCAAGAAGAGGAAGCGGATGGCCGGAGGTGGGAAGAAGACCGAGGAAGGCAGTGTTTCACAAACTCAGAAGTCAGACTGGATTTTAATAATCTGCCAGATCTGTTTATATTCCTGTGTTAATCACATGTAAGGTATATTTCACTTTAAATTATGCAGAATGTTTCTTTTTGTGGATGTTTGTCTTTTTCCCACAGAAACCTGCCTAAACAGACTACCTGCAGCTCAGGTAACAGCTCAAAAATGTTTCAAAAAGACCTTAGAAGTGTTTTTAAAACATCTTAGATTTTGTGTTCAGGTCTTGAATGTTTTCTACTCTTTATGTGTAGTAATGTAAGTATAAAATAGTTTTTGTGTGTGATTTTAAAAATAACTGACTGGAAGTTGCCGTTGTTGCTGACCTCTATGTAATATTCTAATCCATCCACTGCTTACCCAGGTTGTGTTTAGTAATATTGGTTAATGATATTAAGATTTTTGATCTGCTACTGAAAAAGACTTGACAAGAATGTGATATAAATGTGAATAAATTCACACACTTGGTAGAAAATTGTTTGCCTTATCATTTCCACTAATTTTCCGTCCTACTTTTATACTTTATTATTATGAAACCTATGAAAATTCACTATCTCTGGTATCTGTCACTTTAAGTTTTGTGTTGTTGTTTTTTTCTCACAACAAAGAACAAAATGTTTTCCCAGACGTAAAGTTCACTGCTGTGAACTAAACCGCACACTGATGAAAAAAGCCCATAGCAGCACTGAAGTCTCTCTTTTTCAAAAATAACACACAGAGAGGCATGCAATAGATTTAAGCAAAATATGTATCATGTGTCATCCCTTTTAACTGTAAGTGTCTGGTGATGCCATTACAGAGGAATAAAAAGAGCAGAGTCAATTAAGATGCTCTTTAAATGTAAAATCGTCCAAGTTTAATGGCATCAGATGTACATTAACTTCATGGTCTCTGTTCTCTGGGAGGATATTCAACACATAACCAAGGCAGCAATCTGACATTTAGTCAGGGCTGCAGAAATCCAGTAAGACTGTTCTGTATAAACCAGACAGAGGAAAAAAACAGCACCTAATATCTGTTCTGCTCTGAAAGAGATTTGTTCATGGTTATTAAACTGTGGGAGTGAGTTAATTTACTGAATGTAAAGCAATTCTTCTTCTACTTATTTGACTTCAGCAGCAGGTTGGAAGTATTGCTTTATAACTGTAACCTGATTTGGTTTAATAAGGAAAAGATCAATTTTATGCAGTCACTTTTTATATTAACCTAATCATCATACAGTATTTTTCAAATCAGGACTATGTATGTTTTTGGTTGTTCCTTCTGATATAGATCTCAGGGCACATGCAGAACAGTCAGAAGCTTTTCGTTTATATCTGCAGAGGTAGTAGAAGTACACAAACTCAATAGTCAAGTAAAAGTGCAAGTACTTTCCTAAAAACTACTCCATTATAAGCTGAAGTACCACTTCAAGTTATTTACTCAAGCTGAAGTACTAAATTCGTGCTCTAAAATATATTTAATGTATAAAAACACAAGTACTCCAATAAGAAATCAATGTATTTTAAACACTCCAGAATTTGCTGTTAACATGTGTGCACAAGTATAGTCCACATTTGATCAACAAACTTTCAAAAGTCAAAATTATGACAAAGAAAATGTTCCTGTATTTAATTTATTTAATACATTAAAATCATTTTAAAGCTGACCAACAGGGATGTTCTTGTGTCTCTAGGTAAAGGGAGTTGACATGGAATTGGGGTGATGCTGCACAATTACACCTACGATTTCAGGCTCTTGGTGCAGTTTTAAACTTCCACACTAGGTGGCGGAATAATCGCTGCAAAGGTTCTGTAAGGTTTCACTGCAGGACAGAGGGAAACACAGTCAGACTGGATCTCTGCACCTCATGTGGATGAACGTGGTATTAAATCTCTGATGTGGTGAATTCTCAGTTGACTGGAATCATGAATGAAACTGACTAATTCATGTGTTAACAGTAACGCAGGGCACAGTGAGTTATGATATTAAATTTAAAAAAAAACCCTTGAGGGATGACATTTAACTCTCAAACCAACTAGTCGAGAGTGTGAATGAAGTCTTCACAGGGAATAACAGGTGGGTGTTATTTCACCTGTTACTCATTATATAACATTAGATTAACATTTACATGATAATGCATCGTTAGTAGTACAATAAGCTACTGGAACATTCACAGGGGTAACTTGTACAATGAGCACCTGTGGATATTCTAAAATATTAGTAGCAAAACGTACCTATCTGAAAACTTCCTCCGTTAGCCTGGCATCCTTGCTATCAGATAAATGTGATGCAGTAAAACGTGCACTATTCCTTTCTGAAGTGGAGCAGAACTATAAAGTAATGTAAATTAAATTGTACTGAGTTCAATCACTACGGATAATTTTATGGGCAAGGATGAGCAAAATGTCAATCGGCCGCTTTATTGTGATGATGGTTAGGGGCTGTTATTGTAAATAGGCAGGAAAAGCAAGATTTAAGGGGTAACAGAGATCTACGGGGGTGGAGGAACCTTAGATACTGAGTACCCGAGACAGACAGTTAAGTTCCTGTTAAACGCTGTAATACGGTAGACTAAGAGTTTACAGTAAGACCTGAGTCAGCAGGGCGTCCATGTGTTGGAGGACTTGTGGTACATAGTGTTCACTTCACTCCATCTCCACCGCTCTCCCTCACACACCCTGCTGATCCTACATGCTGATCCAGCTGCTGCCCCCGCGCGTAAATGCAAAGCTTTTACGCACCGCTCACTTCAAGAGGTTTAATTGTTGTTTTTGCATTGTCACACGCCTCATTTGGTGCATATAGGCCTCAGACACCGGGGATGTGCAGTGAAGATGTAAGGATGCGGTAATACCTCACTACATAATAAAGGGAAGGGTGGGGGGGTAAAAGGCAAGGCGTGCGTCCGGACGCTCACCGCCAACTAAACGCGAGAGGGACTCTGACATCAATAACAACTCGCTCATCAATAAGAAATTTTGATGGAGTTAGACTGCTTAATTAAATAGCTCGCCTTGAAGGTATTATAGGCTCTCTGAATGTACAATATTTGATCTGATGACCCCCAATGGAGAACATCTGAAGGAAGACTTCATCCACAGGATAGCAGCTCGGTAAAAGCGGCACACATAATAAAATTAGGAAATTTCTTATCTTTAAGTGATGGCTATCAACACTGATACTGCCTTTGAGAAAAGTGCCCTGGGCGAGAGGGAAGTTTCAAATCTCAACGACTTCCAAGACACGGAAAAGCTTCTGAACACCGCGCCCACGGAACCCACCGGACAGAACAACCTCAATCCATCCGACTCCTTCTCCCTCAGCATCAGAGGGAGCGCTCGGTCGCTGGATGCGGACCAGAACGGACACAGATCACAACTAAAGTCGGGCTCCGTGGGGCAGCTGGCGACCCCACCCAGATCCTTGTCCCGGCAAAGCCTGGGCACGCTGCCTTCTCCGGTGCCACCCGGGTCCCTACCCAAGAATTATCTCTGGCTCGCCGTGCTGTCCTGTTTCTGCCCCGCAGTGCCGCTCAACATCTGTGCCTTGTGGTATGCATATGTGGTGAGTGTCAAATGTATGTACATCTTTAATTTTCTTCCTTGTACACTGTGTACATTATTATCTGTCTGTGCTGAAGATGCTTGGGTCTATTCCAGTACAGCTGTAAGCGTCTTTTCAAACACTACAAGAGTGTTGCTTCTGTATTGCTTTTAAATGTTTCATTGTTGAACACTTCGTTCCCCTTCCTTCTCCTTTAGTCGAGGTCTGTTCTCCATACAGGAGATATTGAAGGAGCAAAGAAGTATGGGCGTCTGTCTATGCTGCTCAGCTGTACAGCAATACTGCTGGGTGTGGCTCTCATCGTCTTCATAGTGTATACAACAGGTATGGAAGAAAGACACAAAAGAAACAAACTCATAAAGCTCAGTGTGAAGCTGCAAAACTACATTTCTCTTTTCTGATTCTCAGAGAGCCGGAAGTGAATCGTGGGCAGGAACGAGTCTCTAACTCCATCTGATCTCAAATTTGCACAGAGACGAGGAGGGAAGAGGAAAAAAGCACAAAATCTGAGTTGAAAACAAGCTGAAGAGACTCTTAATGTACAACTTAATGCTTTTTCTGCAACGGAGGAAAGAAGCTCCAGGCCATTTCTCTTTTTCTGGCAGCACATGTCCAATAACCCCATAAACTCAGGAACAGAGAACTGCACACAGCTACTCATAGTCCAAACTAGTGGTGCACTGAAGTACATACCTCCCTGACACAGACAATTGGATGGCACTACATTTTGACAATAAAAAAAACACACACACACACACGACACCAAAAAGACCTACAGACTAAAGAAAAAACAATGAATAAAGATTTGTAATGTGAGGACTCGGGTAAAACACTCTCTCGTGTTCAGACAAAAAAGACGTCAGTGCACCAGTAGTCTGTAATGCAGCCACTGCCTTCCCTGTTTCTCTTAACATTTGCAACAAGACTGACTCTTCTTTTTGCTCAGTGCAGGATTTTTATGGCTGTTGGCAGATGTATCTCATACACTGTTTACATCAAGTTTAAAAGTCACATTCTCCCTTGGTGCCCTGCTGCAGCCATAGTGTGATATCTTGCTTTGCGTGCTACTCTGATAAAGCGAACAGTCCTGTTCAGACTCTAATGAACTGCCTGGATCTCTACACCTCATTATGTTTACAGTATACTACAAGATATGAATGGGGCTGTTCTCCTTGTATGCACTGTTCTTGGCACTCTGATGTTGATGTTTATACATTTATACTGTATGACTGGTTTACAGTGCCATAGTTCTGCATGTCGGAAATAAACTTGGATGAGCATGATGAACTTGAAAGCGAGCTTGTTGTTACTTTATTAGTCCCTGCTGATTCTATATAAAAAAACAGAAACAGTAAAACCACGTAAAATATTATTTTATACCTTTATACAGTTATAATTACAACAGGATAGAAGCAGCAATACATAAATTTCCAGATGGAAATGTTATCATAGTTCAGAAAACAAATCAACTCCTCCGATGTGAGCTGAAACACCTTTACGTACTACTGAGATGTTTTCATTGTGATATCATTTTCTTTAAAAATAAAATGCTTTTTTAAATTCTTTAAACAGTTTTAAGGAAAGTAAATTGAAAGAGTAACATATGAAAACAAAAAAAAATTATCTTGTCAACAACTGGCTTGAATATGAATATTATTGTCAGTGGGTCAGTGGAAAGTGTAGAGCAACAGGAGGATGGTGCAGATGCCAATCACCCCGCCTAGAATTAAAGAGTCTCGCCTCTTGCGCAAATTGATTCTCTGGATGAGACCGTTGATGGAGGGGAACCGTTCTGAGGGGTGGGGATGTGTGGTGAAGGAAAATAATTAAGATGAGTAAGAGACAGAAACCAGCAGGGAAAACACATCGCCAGGGTTCCTAATACAACTAGCAAAATGAATAAATGGACCCTGATGGTGTTGTCTACCGCCTGCAAGTGAGGCTGTGTTATCTCTGTCCAGCGTCTGCATGTGTTAGTTCCTCACACATGTAAGTAACCAAGACAAATTAGTGTACATGTACATGGAAAATTGAGATGTTAACACAAAGAAGGTAAAGACGGTCAGGTGATGAGAAACTATTAGAATGATGTAAGGATACTGGCCAAAGTCGTGACCCTGGTTTGAACAGACTTCAACATCCCACGCTGAAATGTGATGTTCTCTTTGGTAGCCATCGCAATACTGGAGGGAGAGAAACCACGAGGGGAGTGAGACAGGCAGCTGTCGTCACTGCATCACATTAAGCTGGTTTAATGTTTCAGCTGAGGATCCAAGAGGCAGGGGAGGTTTGATGGTCTCTTTTAATAGACCTGGATGTGCTGTTTGCCTATGATGTGTGTGTGTGTGTGTGTGTGTGTGTGTGTGTGCGCACAGGAAGGTAAAGGGCCCTCCTATACAGGAACATCAATTGTTTTGTGTCTTTATAGCTGTTCTGCATCAGTTTAAGGTGGCCTTTTGTCTTTATGTGATTGTTTTGTACGTCTTTTTGGAGGCTTTACACCTCATTTTGATACTTTTGCGTCTCTTTATGGCCATTTTTTTTAATAGTTGTTTTGGGTCTCTTTGGGATGGTTTTGCATCTCTTTGTGGTCATTTTGCATCTATTTGGAGTCTTTTAACTGAAATCTGTGACTCTCAAACAAGAAATAACAGTCTGGCCCAGGGGCCCCTGACCCTCGGGCCATTGGACCTGTGCCTGGTAGGCCTGTTACATCTGTGTGTGTGTGTGTGTGTGTGTGTGTGTGTGTGTGTGTTGAGTACCTTATTGCACTGTCAATAAACTTGTCTGAGCTCTGATCATGAAACAGAAAAAAAAAAAGTCAGTTAAAAGCAAATGAAATATCGTCACTTGCAAAGACTCATAAAGGCATTTTTATTTTATTTATTTAACCAGGAAGTCACACTGAGATTTCAAATCTCATTTACAAGGAAGACCTGGCCAAAATGGCAGCATAAGCCATCACAATCAGTTAAATATAAACCACAGAATAACATTACAATAACATAAACAGGGAGTCGCCACAATTAACATTGAAACTGCTCCAGTGGTTAAGGAATTGCAGAGACATCAAGGAGTTTACCATGGCCTTAAATTTGGTTAATGATACCAATTTGTCCAATTTAACTTCTTTCTACAAATTGTTCCAAATATTCAAGTCAGAAAAAGAAAAGACCTAGTTTCCCCATCTCCATCCTAACACTCAGAGTCACAAGCTGAAGTGTATTTCATGATCTCAAGTTGTAATTAGATGAATTTCTAAAAATAAAAAGTTACCAAGCTATCAGGGTAGCGTGCCAAGAATAGCTTTATATATAAAGATGTACAAGTGACTTAGCGGGGACATGGAAAAAGAAGGCCATCCCACAGGGTACAACGGTGAGTCAGTGGTTTTAAACCTTAAAGCACTGTGATAAACAGCATCCAATTCACAAAGATATTGTGCCAATGCATTCATATATAATAAAGAAAAGGCAGAAAGGTGGCAGCAACCAGCTTCTGGCTTCCACCTTAATTACTTCTAACAAACAACCTTTAGGTTTAATTTCAAACATACTATATTTCTCCTGATTTACAAGTCATGAAACATTACACAGGGAAACCCCACATCTTTCTGGATCTATTATAAAAGGAGCACTTCCTGTGAGACAGGACAAAGTGCTGCTTAATGGAGGATATTTGGGAAAATCAGAATGAGACTGATCAACCCAGCTGTAGCAGAAGATAATTAACCTCTATAATACAACTCTTCTGAACACAAAGTAGAAATTTCATGGTGGTAACCAGATACCTGTTTTATGTTTTAGGTTCATTGAAGTGAAATGACACTGAGCTGCGAACACACTCACAGCCAAGGTTTACGTTAGCCGCCGTTAACTGTGACAGAAAAATGAAGTGTTCAGCCCAAGGCTGAGCAGAGTGCATAAGGGCAACGGCATGCATCCTGGCAGACTCCACTGGAGACCAGAAATCAATACTATACTTTATACTTCCTCCATCTGTCCGTCCACTTTTTATCTATTGCTGTCCTCTGCTTTTTCTCCTGAGTAGCTGGCAGAGTCCGCAGGCCAGGCACAAGTTCCTACTTTTCTCTTTCTTTACTTCCTTCCTTCTTATGTTGGACTATTAGGTGTTAAACTTCAGAGTATTTGTTTCCCATTTGCATCAATTTTTTTTAACTGTATCAACATTACTATGGTGACATTGTTGATTAAATTTATACAGTATGTTGTCAATACAGGAGGGCAAGCTGAACACATCAGGACATTCTGTATCCCTATCAGACTGAGCATTCATCTATAATACTGAACATATATTCTTGGTGGCACGGTGGTTAGCGCTATCGCCTCACAGCAAGAAGGTTCCTAGCTTGAGTCTCGGCCAACCCGGGGCCTTTGCATGTTCGCCCTGTGCCTTCGTGGGTTCTCTCCGGGTACAGACCAAAGACATGCAGCTTAGATTGACTGGTGGCTCTAAATTGCCTGCAGGAGTGTGTGTGGTTGTTGGTCTACATGTCAGCCCTGTGATAGACTGTCCAGGGTGGACCTCGCCTCTTGCCCAGTGCCAGCTGGGATAGGCTCCAGCGCCAGGATAAGCGGTACAGATAATGGATGGATAACATATTCTTACATAAGCATACATATAGAGTACATGCAGCAGTTATTAGTTGCTCCTTCAGGCTTTAAACTCTCCCTGCCCTTGCCTCCTTTTCTACCCTCCTTCCTTTCCACATCCTGGATGGTGCCTGAGTAAGAAAACCAAATGAGTGCATCCTTACACAGCTTAACATTTTATGTTCTTGTTTTCTTCATGTCGCTGTTTCCTTTGCTGAATTGTGTGCATAGCACCAGCATTTTAAATGTCTTCAATGCTGTTTCCTTTGCTGAATTGTGTGCATGTGTGTCTTATTGTGTTTTTCTCATGTTTTTATGTTGCCTTGGTGCAAAAATAAACTGCTGAAGTAGCAGAATTGAGTTGAAGCGAACATTTCTGAATGTCCATGGTGGAGTGATTCTTACAAGACAAGCTAAATGGTTATTACTAATCCTGTTAGGCTACAAATTCTCAACGGTTGCACGGCCTCTTCTGTACACTGCTGTAATACCTGCACATGTTGTGTTAATTACTCAGGATGGGTCTCTAATTAAATGAAGCTGTACCAAATTCCTGACATCTGTACCAAACCCTGGGCAGCTCTGTGAAGACGACACTTCACATTGGCATCATCTATAATTACTTAAAAATTGGTTTAGGATCCGCATAAGGAACAATTATTTATGAATGTGTGTATACATGAAACATTCACACACACTAAATGATTTTCATGGATTGTATTACATGTCACTGACAGCCTATCTTAACTCACTGCTGGTTACTGTGACAGTTTTACTGCTCTTTTTCTTTTTTTTTAATACTTTGTTTATATAAGGTGTATAAAATACTGTTTATAATTTAAAGTTTTTCTGCAGGCACATGATGGCCATACAACTCAGTAAGACACCTAAGAACTAGAGATGTCCTAGTCCTAAGCGCCAGTATCGGGCTGTTCCAGTTGTATTTTAATAGGTCAGTATCCCCTAATATAAAGGTCCTTCCTTAGCTGAACTCTACTGTGTTTTGTCCTCCGCAGCCCACTTGTGTTGCAGCACTGCTGTCCTTTAAAACAGCTGGGCTCTACATTTGTCCATGTGCCAGGTACATATTTAATCAACATTTAGGTAAATTTAAGTATTGGATCAGACCTGATATCTTTAGATATCCAATAAGGACTTGAAGCTTTTGTCACCACATCTGTGTATTTGAAGGCAGTTAAGAGAAAGTGCCAAGTGTCATATTTCACACCACACTATCCACTCAGTCCCATGTAACCCAATAGACTACAGGATTTCTACTACTGACCCCATAATGGGATCCGATACTATCAGTTGTTTTTAAAGAGATCTCTTACTCTCAGATGTTCATGTTCCTTCAGGAAGAGGTCGGCCCGTCTGTTATTAACCCCTGAGCTGCTCTTGTGGGACCTGAGCGAGAATACAGAGGAGAGGGAACCATGTGGAACTGGATTGACAAATAGTAACAGAATAGAGCAAATTTTTAAAGGATCCTTTCGTCATTTTTTGCCATTATGTGTGAAAGACAGTAAAGATCCAAACAGGAAATGTGGGGTGAGAGACAGAGGTATAAAACACAGGAAAGGCTGTGGGTCATAATCAGACCACTGGACGTCCCCATGAAGCAATATTCATATATGTAAGACTGAGAACGTAGAGTCATACTAACAGGTCTGTGAGGGTGCATTTAATTAGGCACATGCTCACAATGACAATGCTAACACATGAATGTTAAGTAGGGATAATGTTTACTATGTTTACCGTCTTAGTTTAGCATGTTAGTAACACTGGTCACAAAGTACAGCTGCTGGGACCGTCCACACATTATAAAGCAGTTATATCAGAATATTTCACAAAAAATGAACCTATTTACTGTAATATTATTATTTTTAATCAAATAATTCTGAAGTTTGGCTAAGGTTTTTGACCCATTTTTCTCACAGTAACGTGAAGAACATCCCAAGCTAAGTTGACAATAACAACGGCACGTTTTCATATCTATCACAAGAGAAAAATAGAAGCAACTTTTCCTACAAATGTATATAAATTCCCCCATGAGATCTGGCTCTGTTTGGTAGTGGAAGTAATAACTTCTTCACTCTTTAACAGCTGCTTAATGAAAACCTAAAGCAACCAGCTGCCTTCCATCAACATGTTTAAGCAGCTTTGTAACTAGCTAACAGTAGAAGTTGCCATGAGAAACAGGTTTTTCCTCAGACTTTGCTCCAGACCAAAAGAGTAATTTCACTCCCTCCTATTAACTGATGCTTGGATGCTGATTATGTACTTCCTGCGTTAAGGCTTTTAAGTGATTAGCTCTGCTTAACCCACAACTCTGTCCTCTGTTTTTATTTACACCGCCCCCTCCCTGTTTGGACTGATAATCATTTCACAATCCATTATCTTCTCTGTTGTTCTTCTCCCTTCACAGTTTCTCCACACATCTCATCTTTATGGGAGTAATTAAAATTCACTTTTCATCACTTTTATAATCAGCCAACATCAGCTCTTGACAGCATCTCTCCCTTTCTCTCTCTCTCTCTCTCTCTAACAGATTTACTGTCTTGCTATCCTTGTTCTCCCCCTAATCGAGCATTTCTCTGTATCAGCCAGGGCAGATGTAACCACTCTCCCTCAGCTCTGGCTGAATGAAAGCCTTGCGGTTTGATTTACTGTAGAAGGCACTTAGGAAAGAGATCCCCAGAGAAAGACAAAGTTACAGACAGACAGAGAGACAGAGAAAGAGGAGTGGTGTTACTAATAAGAGGAGGTGCCTTTTATTAGAGGATGAAACATGATGGAAGAAATAGAGGCTCTAAAGGGTGGGGGAATTCAGCAACAAAATGGGCATTTCTGCCTCCTACCGGTAAAGGATAACATTGCAAAGGTCCAAACAAGAGAAGAAATAAAAGAAGAGAAAGGAAAATTAAGGAAAGAAGGAAATCTGAAAACGTAAGAAGCAGAGAAGATGCAGGGATGGAAGGAATTGTGATGGGAAGGATTGACTCTCTCACAAATGCAAACTTAAGAAAGTATGCCAGACTTATGAGAGAGAGACAAAAAACAGGAAAAAAGAAATGCAGTGAGTTAGAGCCCCTTTAAAGGATAAAAATAACATAACATCTAGTATCTTTTTCCTGTTGACTTTAACCTCCAAGAAAAAAGAGAACCATATTTGTTCATCTATCACAGCATATGCTTTGATATTGGTTTGACAAAACAAGCTGTCATGAGTATGTGCTCAGGCAACTTGTGACTGTTTTCACTATTTTCTGATGTTTTAGCCAAAACAATTCATCAGTGAATCAAAAAACTAACTTGCAGACTAATAATCTCTACGTATAAACCTATTTACTTGACATTAAACATGACAAATAGTGCAGTTAATTTAAATGTAGATAAATTTGACAAGAAGTGAATCTCAGTGATTCCTGGACTTCTCACTGTGGAAGCTACATCCCAAATCACTCACTATGAAAATCACTACTAGAATTACAGTGGATTTTCATTGCAATCTGTAATAATAAATGGTAATTCTCTCCAAATATTTTCATTTGAAGATGACATCTTGGAGACCGACAGTTCTCACTATTTATAACTTTTAATAAACCAAACAACATTTTCAATGAATTAAGAAATTAACTGGCAAATTAACTGATGATGAAAGTAACTGCTCGTTCCAGTCATAGTCCGGTCATGTGTGCAATGCACATGTTGAACCTCAGACATACACTAACAACAGCCAAAGAGAACTGAGACCTACTACTACTACACTAGACTTGCTACAATTACACTATATTAAAAGTTGCTTTTATATTTTTTTAACTGCTTTATAACATTATTAACATGGATTAAACATTGTTTCACTTTTCAGTTTTTCTTATCAACAGTTCTTAATGATTACACACATCTAACAGCCGTCCAGCACAAGACTGCCAAACCACAATGACATGGTGAGTGGAGACAAACATAGGAGCATTTGCTACCAACACACAAAGATACATAAAGGTGCTCACTCAATGTCTCTGTGAACAGAGCCCAGCAGGTCCTCCCGCTCTCGCAGGTTGAAAAAGTTGCTTTTGGTTTTGTGGAACTCATGAGTGTAGTCCTGCAGGACAAAACAGTGTCAGATACAGTCAGCAAGACATGATGATACTGAACAATAGAACAGAGACTTACAAAGACAACAGGTTACAATTTCACAAAGGTTTCTTATAATATAAGTAAAACACTTACCATGACATACACATGGGTCTGAAACACTTTTACTCATGAGAAAGTAATAGCAGAAAGTGAAGTCAATGTATATACCTGTAAAATGTCTCTGTGTCTCTGTAAGGTGTGCATCAAGGCTACGTTATGTGACGAAGCTCCTGAAGCATTTGTGTATTCTGCCATTTTGTCATTGACTGATGTAAGCTGCAAAAAAAAGAAAAAAGATTAAACCGATATCAAATAGCCATAAAACAACAAAATTTAAGTGATCGTAAAACAAATCAGTAGAATTTAAATAACCTGGTAGGTAGGCCTATAATTTAAAATATCAGACTAGAGAAAAATGAATTTCATAGTAGTTATTTCATTAGCTGGGATCTTGCTCTTGTGTGACTGTGGTTTGGGGAAAAGCTTTGGAGATCCACACTGTTCTCAAACTCGGCAGACACCCGGTGGAAGAAGGAAGGAAAAAGAGAGGAGAGAAGAGAAGAAATTACAAAAGCAGATGATGATAGTAACGAGTGGTATTTATACTATTGAGGAGGAAGAGGTGTGTCAGGCAGGTCCTGCTCAAATTTAATACCTCAATTATATTAGAAGCACAAACTGCAATTCTAACTCCAGATTGTACAACCGGTGAAATAAGCAGCAGCTCCCCTAGTATGTAACGCACAGGATGGCGCAACCACCTTTGGCTGGCTGCTCACTTTTGAAGAACACTAATTATAACTGCAGTTACTGAAGGGAAGCCTAAAACCCCTTTGGCTCTGGGTGTCAGCAACCCTATGTGGGCGATACTTGACTTACACTGGCCAAAAGCTGCTCCAGTTCAGTAGTCATGGCTGCGAGCACATTGTTCTGAGATGAGCCAAAGGAATCAGACCTGATTTAAGAATGAAAGGAAAAACAAACTGAAGTTCAAATACAAGCTTTTTGTCATTCTAGGTATATAAAAAAGTTGAATGTCACATAAAAACTACAGTACAGACTAATGAAGCATATTTAATGAGGGGAAAAACCTTTACAACAATTTCTAAATTGTAAGATGATGAAAATACTGTATTAGAGTGGCTGGTGCTCTAAATGGTGAACACTGTATTCATGATATTCCGTTTCCAAGAAGCCAACAAATTAAATTTCTAATTGTTAACAACACAAAGGCACTATTTTAACTCTACAAGCACAAGTGCAGACTGGTTGGTCTTGTGCCCAGACAGTTAACGTCTCCACCCACAATTTTAGGTCATGTAGGTGCAGAATCACAAAGTGTAAAAGGGCTGGGTGACAGTGAATAGATCAGAGGGGGTGGTGGTTAATAAATGCTTCACCAGTCACACCATTGGTTTCATCAGCTGCACTAATCCCAGAGATACAGGGCCGTCCCTAGGGTGCTGGTCCCAGCTGTGGCTGCTGCAGCTGTAGCTGGTGCACAGCTTACTGAAAGAGACCAGCTTGAGATCCAGCTCATTCTCCAGCTGTCTGGCCTGTTTACGCAAATCTGAGTGAAGAAACAGAGACAAATATCTCAAAGTGGAAAAAGACTTTCCATATCTGACCAAAATAAATATTGAACCCTCATACCTAAAAGCTGGAAAACTAAATTATAAAAATCATAGGAAATCAGGCAAAATGGAGCAGCTTGTAACTGCATAAAAGCCAAGCATGGATACCAAACAAAACAAGAGATTATATCATTTAGGCCAGAATGTTTGGCCAAAAGGGAAAAGGCCCGTACACACCGGAAGTGAGAGGAAAGAAAGCTACAAAAGGTTCCTCTGAAGTGAATCAGTCCGCACTCCCGGGAAAATTACTGAATGAAGTTATGAAATTTAATTTTGTCATGCATATAACTATGCCCAGCCTGCATGGGCTTGAAACACACTATTTCATACAAATCAGGGCATATACAGTCTAAACAACAAGATAAAGGTGTGTGACTGAGCTTAAAACCTTATGCGCTGTTGCTTTGTTTTACTTTTTTCAATTTTTCCTGGAAACAGGTGGAAGAGGTTCACAACATAAAGTTACACATAAAGTTATACACTCCTTTGTAAATTTTAATTCAGCTCGCTGTAGAAGGCAGGCTGGCCATTTAAAACTGACAACACCGGTCTATCCCCATTTTCTCACAGTCCGCCCCCGAAGAGCTTTCTAAGTTCAACGTGAACAGGTAGCAGTAACAGGTTAGCTTGAAACCAGCTAAATATATCTCCCTCCCGAGGAAATAATGTTTATTTAACATAGCGTATTGTGGAATAAGTTACACATGGTTGACTTCAATCAGTAAAGAGCAACAAAGCATGTACATGAATGCCGCTGTTTTATACAAGACACTGTAACATAACATACCTTCCCAATAGTTGCCACTGGTCGCCATGTTTGTTGTTGACATGTCATCACGAGCCATCAAGAAGAAAGAACTGTCGTAACTCTAATGTGACCCACAGCGGCCTCTGGAGTACTTTCCGGCAGTAAGCGTGCATGAACTAAATCCGTAAGGGAAATAATAGTCCCTCTATAATACTAATTCATCAAGACAGCAATACCAAATTAAAATATGTAAAGCATAGAAAGTATAATAAGAAAAATGCACTTAAAGTAGACTATAAAAAGTATAAGCACCTTAGGACTGAATGCAGAAAAATGTGTTATACTTTAATAGGCCTACATTATATGAATAAATACTTATTAACGATTCATTAATAAATAAGTAGCCAATAAGTTGCCAATATAACAAGTTGGTTGAGGTGGAGCTAATGTGAAATTATTGCAACTACAACTAATGATGGTTTTTATTATTGCTTTAACTGGAAGTTGAAAATAGTGTCAAATGCCCATGTATAATTTAGTAATGTACAGAATGAAGACTTCAAACATCTTGTTTTGTCCATCCAAGAACTCAAAGATATCAAATTTACAACTATATATTACACAGAAATTGAGTCAAACTGAGACTTGTTGATGACCCATGTCATCCACAAACATAACTCACAACAGACTTCAGTCATAATATATTTGTCCACCTTGCTTTATTTTCAGTGTTCAGTGCACAACACAGATCAAAGTTATCCAAACGCAGTTTGTGTCAGTACACAATCACTAAGTAAAATATATTTCTGTGGAATTGGACAATCCTGACAGATCAGCAGGGTATTCGTAGGTTAATGCACAATCATACCTTTAATTTCTCCTAATGTTTGTCATGTTGGTTAATATCATTTAAGCTGTTTGCTGCTGAGAAAGACAACACACGTGATTGAGTTACATCTCAAGATTGTGAGTCTCTGTTTCTTTGCTCATTCTTTTTATTCGTCATCGTAAAGGTCGGAAATCATGGATATCACTGTTACAGCAAGACTAGTAGATGTTATTGATGAAGAACACCGTGACGATGATGACGGCATCAGCTGTGAAGATGTAAAAGAACAAAAACTCTGAGGTGTTTTTAGCACTCTGCAGCCAACCCTGGCAGATGAGTCCTTTCTTTCTAACTGATTTCTCTCAATTCTATCATTCCTATTTTCTGTCTTTCATCACATTTCCTTTCTTTTGTGATGTTTCTTTAAAAAAGAAATAAAAAGTGTGGTAAACAGCTGATGCCTGTAAGCACTTGAACTCCAACCCAGGACATTTCTTTAACTAGCTGGACCAGTGGAGAATGCTCCTCTCTCAGTGCTGGATCCTCCTGATGGACTGAATCTGAGGAGTCTGAGCATGGGAGCCAAACTCACGGTAACACTTGTACTCTCCTCCATGACAGTCACACTCCATGATGTACTGGTGGCCACGGTAGCCCGGGTACTGGTAGCACACAAAGCTGAAGAAATCAACAAGAACATCTTGATTAGACTTTACAGGAACATTTAAATAATCAGTTAATCATTTAGTTAAACATAGAGGTGTAAGTAGCTGGAGGTTGTGATGTATTTTCAGTCACTGTGTGTTTCTCGCTCAAGACTTACGCTCCACTCTGAATGTGCATGGATCCAACCTCTTTGTTCATCCAGCCCATGGCCTGCAGAGAGGGATAGTCATCACACAGCTCGAACTGACGACCCATCATGTTCTCCATCTCAAAGATGGTCATGCGAGAGTCCTTATGGTTCTGTACAAAGGAGGAAGGAGAACTGAGATGAAGCCCAGGTTAAAGTGAACTAAAGGCTGCTACTGTGTTGTATGTTAAACCTACAGCACAGCAGATGGGCCTGAAGGAGATCATCCTCTCAATGCGGTAGGAGTTACTGCCACTATAGGCCTCAAAGCGAGGATAGTCTCCCTTCTCCAGAACAAACTGCTGGCCACAGAAGCTGGAGTGCTCGTAGCCCACCCAGCTACAAGCAGAAATCAAGGAAATATAAAATTTGCACTCTCTTGAAGCCCCTCAGAGTCTGTAAAAAAGTTGCTCCATTTCATTTGCTAAATCAGCTCTATTAATTCTAAAAGTGAGCAAGCGCTGTCCGGATACATACGCGCCACACTCAACCTTCAGGGAGCGGATGTTCTCCATCCCACACTCTATGATGTTCTGGCAGCCAGCGGTGAACTCCATACGTCTGCCCTGGAAGTACTCCTGATCGTACACAGTGATCTGTGAAACACAAAATAATGAAACACAAGATTAGACCACTGCAGTCCAGTTTTTGTTGAGTCTATAAACACAACAGGCATCCATTGCAGTCATGTACTCAAACCTCTTGCTGTTCCCTGTGTTCATGGATAAGGTAGTGTTAAGTATGTACTGTACATCATATACTTACCTTCCAAGGGCCCATGGGCACGGGGTTTGTTAGAGCCATTTGTCCTCTTTTTGAGCAGTACCTGCAGGGAAATACAAGTCAGAGTGGGGATGGAAGAAAACACTCAAAACAAAACTGTATCATTTACACAAAATGGCATTTTACTATCATATACTATCATATCTAAATAACCAGCTGTTCTTTATTCTGCCTGCTGCTCTGGGTGTCATTTTGTACCTCATTGATTACTGTGTCACATAATGAACTTTCAAGATACTACTGTATAAATCGACAGTATAACCTCAATCCACCTGTTTCCTTCACTTGTTTCAACCTCCTGTTTTAAATGTAAGGTAATAAACAAGCAAATCTGTCTTCACTACAGTCAGCTTAGACCCCCTGTTGTTGATCAGTATACTGAATTAACGGCTCACACATCATGTCCATAAACTAAGAAACAGCAGTATTGTTAACTACTTTAACTAGTTCGACCTACCCAAACTGGTGAGCTGTGTGTCACAGGTTTCCACTGAATGGTCTGCAGAGACAGTGTGTATGAAGGGGTTTATATACACCCATGAGTGTCAGAGGCTGGGGGGCAGACTGGCCTGCACTCATGTCAGCACTTTGCTTTGGACTCTATTGTTTTGTTGTGTGAGTCACCGAGGGGCTAACACATAGACACATGTGCAAAGGCAAAGAGGGCAAATGGCTGTAAGGCATTACTACTGGTGGTGGAAGGGGTACTCAGATTTTTAACTTATTTAAAAGTAACAATACAACAGTGTAAAAATACTTTGTTACAAGTAAAAGTCCTGTATTCATGTTACATGTTAAATAGGTCAAAGTACAAAAGTATTAGCATCAAAACATACTTTAAAGCACTAAAAGTAAAAGTAGTCATTATACAGAATGGCACATTTCACATTCTTGCATATCATATTATTGTATTATAATTACAGGTTAATGTGAAATTGTAGTTCAGTGGTTGATTTATTTTGAAAGTAAAGCTGCAAGAACTGTTTTCTAAATTCATTTTCATGTAGGACTGTCCCAAAGCCTTTTCAGTCATCACTCACAATCACAGCATGTTTTAAGGTAGTCTGGGATGAAACAACTCTTGTACACTGTTTGTAGTCTTTCATCATAAATACTCCAAATGCCATTTTCAAGTATTAAAAAGTTTTGCATACACACTATTCCATCATTAATCAGTTAGTCGCATTCACCCAACCAAGCACTCGACACTCGTTAACCTAATGGAAGCTGGGGGTGCTGAAAGGAGCTGCAATACCCCCAGCTAATAATAATTATCATTCATCCCTTTTAACTGTGTAGTACACTGGTGTTTTGTGCCAGTATAGAGATTTTATTTCAGTTTTTTTTTTTACCTGTTTCAGTTCTGTGCCACTATGTGGAGTGATTTTGTTTCAGTATCCTGACTTTAATCATCCGCTGTCTTCACTTTATTTTGGCTAATTCGAAATGCATTCCAGTAATCTAATGTACCAAAACCTGAATACCGAGCATCCTGCCAACTGGACAAACCAGATCAATGACAATAACACCAGATTTAAAACAGGAAGATGGTGGCCATGTTGGAAATCTAATCAGGCTACTTTAGTGATTTTTAAAATGCTGCAGTCCATGGAGGGTGTGGAGGAACACGTTTGTTGGTAGAGTCAAAGCTGATTAGAGTTTCAGATCAAATGACAGCAGCAAGACAGTCTGTTACCTAGTCCTATTCACCCTCTCCATGAACACCAGGAGAGGACATGACAATGCAGTCATCCTTTTTTGGCTTTGTGGTTTAAATGTGAGTGGTGAATGAAAGTACCTGTTGCTATTTTTGGAAAACCTAGTGAATAAATCAACAGTGAAGGTTAGCAGGGGCTGATGGCACCAACTGAAAGGTCTCATTGACAGGAAGGCAGAACTTTGGCATCAACAGTGAGATGTAATTGGCAGCTTCGATCTCAGGTAGTACAGTGACTAGAACATTATAACCCAGGGGATATACTGAGACATGAAAGTTGAGCTGTTCATTATTTGTGATTGAACATGCAGCAAACAAAGCTGAGAGCACATGGTAGGTTCATAACATAACATCCTTTCTCCTCTAGCTGCACGGAACAATAAACATTTAAGAACGGCTTACCGAGGTCAGCACATTGCCCAGACCTCTTGTCTCTATGTGTGTGTGCATGTGTGTGTGTGTGCCCATGTGATTCCCTAATTGTGTCCACAACACACAGAGAGATATACATGTGGGGATGCTGCAAATGCTATCAAAACAAAAACATTTTTGTGAGCACATTCCTGATAAAGGTGGATTTGTTCAGCTCAGAATGTGAGTAGGGACGGGCATATATGTCCCTGTGTGAGTGTGTATGTGTGTGTATCTGCTGGTGATAGCAACAGCAGCTCAGATGTGACAAAGAGATGAGCAAACTCAGCGGGTCCATGTGAAGAACCCGCAGTGACTGTATAGCCGACTCTCAGTATGCACTTGCAGATATCACACATATACAAGACACTAAAACCATGGAGGGATTATGACACAGTGGGCCCCTGGGCACCCACCCTCCTACACAGAAGACCCAAGACTAAAAGAGAATCCCTTTAAAGATGAGTTCTGTCTCTCTATAGTCTTTTTGCATCTCTTTGTAGTTGTGTTGCATCTCCTTGAGCTTGTTTAATGTCTTTGCAGACATTTTGTGCCTCTTTGAGGTCATTTGGCATCATGTTGTAGTTATTTTTTGTTTCTTTGTGGTTATTTTGCATCTCTTTGTAGTTGCTTTGCATGTCTTTACAGTTGTTTAGCATCTTTTTGTGGATGACTGTGTCTCTTTGAGGATATTTTTCATTTTTTTAAAAATGTTTTTGCATCTCGTTGTGGTTGTTTTGTGTATAATTTTGTTTGTTTTCTGTCTCTTTCTGCAATATTTTGCAGGCAAACTCCAGGGGCTCCCACACCCCTTTGGCCCCCAGGCTTGTGCCCAGTAGGCCCATTCAGTAATCCATCTATGACTACAACTATCAGCAGCTGACCATAAAGCATCTCTCACAGATGTACTAGTCACACTAACAGACTGCATATTTATTACTAATTACAAAGAAAGTTAAATCAGCTAAAACTAACAAACTGTATTGATATCTGTTTGGAAAAACCTATCCTTAAGTTTTATTTTTTGAACAGGGCCTTTTTGATATTCATTTTATTTCTCCATGGTTAACCTTAGTGCCACGTCTAAGCCAGTAGAACCTCTAATTGCACTGCAGGTTTGGGGCCGCATATGATCTAAAACAAGCACCACAGACACTTCTTGTTTTACCTGAATGAACGCTACAGTATCACTCTTATTTCCTCCCTAGCTACCCTGAAAAGGACAAACCACAGTCAAAACTATAAACGGGTTTTGCAATAAATACTTGCTACCTCTAGGGAGAGACATTTCCACATAAACCCTGAGTTTCTAGGTCTATGAAGACAATTAATTTAGGGAAACACACTCTTTATGGTCTTTCAAACTTTCAGTTGGTTTAGAAACACTGTTGTAGCTGAACAGAATTTCTACAGCTCTTTGACCCTGTTCATGAACCTGGATGCTCTACTCTGAATAATGAGGCAGACCTTTGTCTTAACTGGCATGTTAACTGTAGCTGCAATTGGTTTGGCACTGTTATCATCACAGAGCTCTGGTGGATAGTCATGTGCAACTGAGGTCTCGAGTGAGTCATGCAGAGACTTTACATGCATCAGTAGAAGGAGAAAGAGAGGCAGAAATAGGATTAAAACCTCACAGAGCTGTTTCCATTCTGATCTCTACTTAGTTTCTGTAGCTGATGATCTGCTGAGGCCTGTTTGCAGTAATGAATGCCTTCAGCATGTGAAGTCTGGACACAGTGCAGCTAATTAGAGCAGAATGATCACGCTAATGCAAGTTTGGTGTATGGAGCTACAGAAATACTTGAAACCTACACCCTTTTTTACATTTTTGTTTGATTTTTAGCGGGTTATTTGCAAGACAGGCAGTAGTGGAAGATGTATTTAGATAATTTACTTCACAATTTTGATTATAAATTGTACAGAAGTGAGCAACATGGTCTTAAAGTTTACCATCTTAATTTACAGTTGAGTCTAGTGGTTTCCAGCTTCGGAACAGTTTTAAATTATAGGTTTTGGGGACATTTAGGTCAAAATATTAATGTGAAAAGTACCTATATCTGTCAAATAAATCTAATACAGTAAAGGGTACAAAATTTCCCTCTCCTCTGAAATGTGGTGGAATGTAAAGTGGAATAAAATTGATATAGGCTTACTCTAATAAGGTACAAGTACAAATTTGTGCTTATACTTCTTCAGTAGATCATTGTTACTTTTCAGCACTGAATGCTGTAGTTATGTAGAAGTTTAACTGTTTCATACATCTGAGTATTTCAATCTGATAAACATCATTTTAAAAACTATTTATTACGATTAAAGTATAGATTATTAAGGGCGTTAAAATTTACCACAACACAGCACTGGTTTATACTTAGGCCCAAAAGAAATACTGAGGTGAGTTTTTAATGTGTTTCAATAGAAAACAATGCACACAATGCAAATGTTTGTTTTGAATGAAAAGACCGTGCGCGCGTTCGTCCGTTGTAGCGCAGATTGTGCGCAGAAGCACCAGCCAAATGGCGCAGGGCTGGGGGGGCTGCCTCTGATACGATCCCCCACCACCACCCCCCGACAGAAACGGCCATCTGCCTCCTCTTTTAACCATTTGAAACCCAGCAGATCATTTCCCACCGACTTCTAGCCTCACTTGACACAACCGAGATAGCGTCTCCGAAGCCAGCCGCGCACAAAACTGCCCGCTCTCCGCGTATTGCGCTCAGACACCGAGAGCCGGGGCCGTGTGCACGTAGCCTCAGGCTGCAGGCTCATAAAGGCGAAGCGGATTTGAATTAAGCAGCGGATAACAGACAGCAACCGTGCATCCTTCAGTGACGGAGGGAGGGAGGGAGAGAGGCAAGTGTTTTGTATCTTGGAAGCCCCGGGTTAGGAGAGGGAGGGGAGGAGCGGAGAATGAGCTATTCTTGTACCAGCAGAGGCAACAGCCAGGACCCATCGAGCGCAAAGAAGCCTGGCGGTGATAATCCAGACAGAGACGCCGGAGGCACAGACAGCGGCAGTAACGGCAGCCCGAAGCAAACGGCGGCGATGAAAGTGAAGAAAGGGTGCAACTCGACCGACGTGGGGGTCCCGGTGACCACGGAAGAGGAGCTGCTCGCCAGAGCGGTGATCACTCCGGAGGATGTTCTGGGCTTACAGAAGATCACAGAGAGTAAGTTGGCTGCTGCTGTCTCGGTTGGTGAGTGAGAAAGGAGGACAAAGGTGCGAAAATGTGACAGCTCCTATATGAGTCACACATCACGTCATTGCCATGTCCTCTTATTTATGTAATGTATATAGGCCCTATTGAAACACATGGTACTGCACCTCTGGCAAACGTTGCCGACCTGCCTGCAGATGTGCATTAGACCTTTTATGTTAGTAGCCTTGTAACCTGCAGAGGAGGTGTCAGCCTACCAGTGTTGTGTGGAAGTGAAGTTTAGCACACAGTCATGAAGGTGGGTGAGTGTTATTTTAGACGAGTGTGGTGCTTCAAAACACCATGTGTGCAGCATAAAGAAGTGGAGCAGGGAGTCCCCAGACGCAGTTAATTGCTGAACATGCATGGCTTACATTTTATCCTTTTGAATCACATCATCCCTTCAGTAGCATGTCTTCACTTCAGGACCATTTTATTTGACTATAAAGGTGCAGAGGAAGGTGCTGGAGTGACTGAGGGGCCATCTATCAAAGCAGCTGTGTGCTAGTTCACTAGTTCACATCTAGTTCAAAGCAGATGTTTTCACCTTCCTCTCATTCCTCCAGAGTTAAAGCACCCAGTTGTCATGTTTGCGTTTGTAATCCCAAATGTTGTCTTGTTTGGTTTTGTAAACAGATATCTAAATTACAGATTTCCAAAAAAACAAACAAAAAAACCCTCTTTAGCTATATGGTGGAGTACCACATGCACTCAAGTAAAGTACAAACACCTTAAAGTACTTGAGTAAATGTACCATACCTTGTCAGGAAAAGGTATGGTACAGATCTAATAATCTCACATTTGTAATCTTTTAAGGACTGCTTTGCTTGTGTTCATAAAACAACATAGTAGGCTAATTCCCAAACACAAGTAGAGCTGCTTGTTCACTAATAAACAAATCAATTTGATATATATTTTCTGGCCAAGGGGGCTGTTCCTTGAAATAGCTCATATCCATTTGCTCATTCACAAATTCGTATCAGTGTCACATTGAAAAAGCCTCTGATTAGTGAATTACTTAGTGCATTTTTTTAAAATTATGTGACACCTTTAAATCTCAAACAAGCCTGTTATAGAGAAACGTAGGGAGAGAGAGCAGGAAGTGCTTATTTGCACACCTGCATCTATCACTATCCCAGGTCTTACGCCAGCACTTAGCTAACAGGTGGCCATCGGGGCACTGACTATTTAAAGTCCAGAATAATACCTTACTTACACAACCTGATTAGCTGCCACTGAGCGTGGTAACATACAGTGTCCAATTTTCTCCCAGCTATTTTAAAAGGTCAAGATACTTGCACTTTTTAAAATCTTTTTCCAATTGTTTTACTTTTTCATGCAGCTCAAGATAGTGCAGAAAGTTCATATTGCGATAAGGAATGAGATGTTGCTTACTGAGGAGTGGACAGGCTCATGGGAACATCCTTTGGCTCAGCCTGTCTTCCCTCCTGTACCGATGTGATTTCTTTAAATGTCAGTATTAACTGCAGCCGAACAGTATTGTGACTTCATAGTGAGCATGCAGCATGTTTTTATCTGTACACCTGTTGTTGGTGATTCCCGTGAGTGAGTCTACGTGGGGATCGTTGTGCTGCTACACAGCAGTGTGAACGGGAGCATCGTAATAATCCTGTCTCCCACGCTGGACCCTATTATGGTCTTGGAAACTCTCACTTTCCTATCTCGCAGCGTCATCGCTAGAGGCAAGAGGAGGCATGTGTGAATCACCACAGCAACGTGGACACGCTTGAATCACTACGGCAACGCAAAGCATCTCCTCTTGGTTACAGGCAGCGAAGCATGCATCTCTATTCTCCCACACAGTTCCTTCTCTACTTTACCTCTGTTCTTTCCTCTAGTCTGCTCAGGTACATTGTAAAGAACTGTAGAGTTTATCGTAAATAACTAACCAAAAAGTTGCCAATCAAGTATTGTAAAATTGCTTTTAATTGCTGTAAAACTATTATAGTACATTACAAGATACCTTTTACAGGTTTTTACACATCACAGTGTATTGTGAAGCTATAAAATGTTTTTACAGTTAATATTTGTTTATTACATTAGCACCTTTGCAAACTGTGCATATTGTGAAACATGTTTTAATGAGACCAGGCTTGTCTTTAATCCAAAATTCATCAACATGACATTTAATTTGCTTGACCTGTTAAGTAAAGCCAGAGTCGGAGCTGCAACTAAACAAAACCTTTAATACAAACTCAGTAGTTTTACAGTAGCTTTCAGAACCTGTGGTGAAATTCCTTTTTCTGATCAACTATTAAAACGAGTGCCTGAGAATAATATAGTCAGAACAAACTCAGATTAACAGGAAACATGATGTTAACCTGAGTATTTCAGGATCACCTTCACACCTGCTGCACCAAGGTCAAGTATTATTACAGTAAAACCCACCATGACCTTTTCCAGTATGTTCCTAAAAATAGTGAGAAAGTTGCTTGACACCGTTTCTGGTCGTCAAACCAAGCAGAAAACAGCCCAAACTCACTGAAGCCTTTCTGTTGTTTTGTGACTTGTCTCTCTGTGCGTTTTGCTGCTGCTGCTACTGCTGCACATTCTCGAGTGGCTGAAATTGATTCCCTCTCTAAGTGGCATAATACACAAGTGACAATACCTGACACAGCTCAGACAGACTTGACAACAGTCTTGAGTTAAAAGGTTGTTTGTTTTTTTAACTGAGTGACTGTGGTTTGAACCATGCAGGGAGCACAGCTGTCTCACAGGAGAGGAAACTTTGCATCAGATAAATCCTCAGAAAGCAACCAAGTCTATCCATCTGCTAATCAAAGCAAACTACCAAGATTTGGTACAGTTTACGCAGACAGATGAGTCTTTCTACTCATGCAGTTGCATCATTTACTGTATACTTAACAAGTTGGTAGATCGTAATTTAATAACTGCTGAATTTAGCCAGTTTGCTGCTTTCAAATGAAAAGTTTGGATTAAAAAGTTGATTTTGCAAGAGAAGGTTTACTTGTTTAAGAGTTATCCAGGTGATGAGGGGGAAGAAACTTTCTCTGTGTCTAAATGTTTTGGCGTATTACAAAATAAAAATACAAGACACCCTCCGTCTATTACCACAGGTTATATTTTCACACATATCACAAATATACTCAAATAAGATGCAAGTATTAGTGGTGGGCATTAAAAGCTAGATCAGAAGTTCAGTACATTTGCTTACTAATGGGGCGTGAGATCTGAGGCCACTCAGGCTTTTAAAATCTGCTGAAGTTTGAAGAAGTGGTTTGCACATGAGCTTCCTGTTTCCAGCAGTGTTTGGCTGCTGAGTTAACACTCAGCTCGGTTTTGACTGTTAACAGTCAGCTTAGTTTGTTGCCTAATTCAGTTTTGACTGAAGTGATCAGACACACACAGAAGGCTTGAGAGGGGAGGTTGTACTATCACAGCCCAGAAGGAGAGCTGACACTGATAAACTGGAGTCTCAGTGGCTTCAGCGGCTTCTAGCAGCAACTTGTCCTCAGACGGCTATTTGTGTGTGTGTGTGTGTGTGTGTGACCTGAGGTGACAGACTGCATGTAATTTACTACAAACACCTCCAGTTTTGTGAGGAAAAAAGAAGACATGCTCACAAAACACACGCAGAGACACACAAACAGTCTCACTGGGCTTTCAAGCACAAACAGATCTGTGACACATACAAGAGATTTAAGAAAATTCACTAATTGTCTTGTCCTTAGATTTTTCTCTTAGTTACAAATAAGTTCACAAATGGCCCAGGAGTCATGAACAGACCTTTCTTCATAGGGTGAAACACACACTTTTGTCTGGATTTGAAGGAGTTTGCAGTTAAATTGTTATAACCAACTTAATGCTAAAATAATGCTCTGTATTCCACATCATCATGGCATGGCAGTTTATTTATTGAGAGGTATTTTAAATCTAAGTATTCGAATACCCTCTGCACACACAAAGAGCTGATGTATTTAGAAGAGCCTCAGCATTCAGACTAACAGAAGAGCAAGAGCATCGCAGCATCACAGCAACCCAGATCAGCTCTGTCAGGCACACTCACCTCACACAGTAAAAGGAGTTGACAGCTCGCTCTGGCTGCAGGGTAGGCTTCTTCTTTAGGGACAGTGTCACTACACAAACATAAAAAACAACATGGAGGAAGCATTGTGAGCAATAAACACCAGGTCTCAGTCAGGCTCAGGCTCCAGTTTGGTTATGCTGTGAGTCGGTGACTAAAAACCGAAGATAACGGATGTTACCCATTCTCAGATTTCATTTGTGTGGGATTGCATCAATACAGAAAGAACTGTGTGGGAGATTAGGCCCTTTTCACACAGTGGTAAACGTTCAGGGGTTCAAAAATAACTGGACAGATACACATGAAGTCAAATTAAATCATCATCATTATCTGTAGAAATAAAAAGTATTCAACCCACAGGCATCAGCAGGCACTTTGTGTCTTCCCTGGTGTCGCACTCCCAGGCCTTCGCTGCAGCCACCTTCAGCTCCTGCTTGTTGTGGGATCTTTCTTCCTTTAGTCTGGTCTTCAGCAAGTGGAATGTGGTTTGAGATGAGGCAACCAACTCAGCCAGTTGAGGATATTCCACCTCATCCTGAAAAGCTTTG